TCACAATACAACTCAACGGTCACACATAGGACAATCATTCCATCACAAATAATTGAATTCAATATTCAATACACAATCAACTTGTTAAACAACAATTGATATCTCAATAACCAACCGAAGGTTTACAATCAATCAATAAATCATCTCAATTAAACCATGTTTTAGTTAAGATTTAATTAAACAATGACTCCTCAAACATATTGGATATAAAAATATTTGGCAACTAATTATGTCATCTATACTATGTTATAGATCTATTCATTAGCTTTCCAACACCTCGAACGGGGACTAAAACCGACTTACGGATTAAAAGTTATGGCCAAAATCGTCGGAACAGAAATTTCCAGTTTTCAGCTTTTATACAGCATGCAATCGATTGTTGTATTAGTGCAATCGATTGCTTGACCCAATTTTTCACATTTTAGCCTCTGTTTTGCTGTGCAATCGATTGATGTACTAGTGCAATCAATTGTTTACTGTGTGTTTTCGAAAAATTATGCAGAAAATGGTATTTTTCACCAACCCTTCCCTCTTTGCTACCACAATCAATCCCCACATGTTAGGGTATTCACCAAACTCGAAAATCCACTAAATCATGAGAATTCTATGGGTTTTTCTTCCTACATAAACTTCTACTCATTCACCATTAATCCACAATTTCAAACCTAGAGTTTTTCTACATAACTTCTACCCATTAATCATTATCCCAAAATCCCAATAATGAGAGAATGCCCACCCTTACCTTAGGTTTTTCTTTGGGGAAGAATCCTTGATTCCTTTGAATGCTTGAATTTTGATTTTCTCTCTTCCACTTTCTTTTTCCTCTTCCTCCTTCTCTTCTTCTCTTCTATGCTCTTTCTTCTCTTTTCCCCTTTTTCCTTCTCTTTACTAACTTCTCCCTTTCTATTCTCTAAAACCATAATCCTTAAGTTATTGGGCCTAACCCAATCCACTTACTATTCACACACTACCCTAACTCACTAATTCTAGAAATCAATCATCTCATCAATAAAATAAGTGGTTATTCAATAATTCAAATAATTAAAATAATTCCAATAAATCAATCAATTAATATAAATTAAATAAATCAAATAATTCATTTAAATTAAATACATCACATGTAAATAATCAATTATTAAAAATTGGGTTGTTACATGGTGCATGTAAAACATTAGTTAATTTTAGAGGATGAAGGGATTTGGTAATGATGCATGTCCACAACCAATTACAGGAATATTTTGACCACTGCCGACGGTAATATTATTACTCATATTGAAGTAGGACGTGAGATTACCTCAGTTGGCCATCATATGCGAGGTTGCTCTAGTGTCTATGTACCACTGATCATCAGGAGTAGAAAGTGAGAGAGTATGCATGGCAGGTTGAATATTCGTTGGAGCATATGAGGAGGTTGGCGTTGCATTGGTGACATGAGCTTGGTGAGATGGCTTGGGACCAAGAATGTCAGGTTGTTCCTTTGAATTTCTTGCTGTTGGATACAGACAAGGTGGTATAGCCCATGGTTGCCATGGCGGGAGCTCTACTATTGATATTGGGTACAGCGGATAAGCCCACTACTGATGCAGGTAATATGGTAAAGGCCACTACTGTTGCGGAGCACGACCTCTATTGTTTCACTCTCACTTTGTCCACATTGTTCTCTGCAATTTCTTCGGTTGCCACAATTGTGGTCGCCGTTGTTTCCGCGGTTAGGACGGGATGCCAATGAATCAATTGGTGCGTCATTGTGAGACGCCATGAAAGATGGATTTTCAACTGAGCTTGACGCCTTTTTCTGCAGTGTTATTTCTTCCAAAATGATCATGGAACGAGCTTTATAGAACTGAGGAAGTGAATCAGCATGACGAATTTAGGATCACACAATAGCATATGCATCAGTTAGTCCTGAAATGAGTTGAAGAACTAAACATTCATTTGGTACAGGGGCACCAACATTAGCTAGTTGATTAGAGAGAGACTTGAGATTTTGACAGTAGGAGGAAGCATTAGAGAATTGCTCCATATGAGTTCGTGAAAATTCTTGCTCTAGGTAGAGAGCCCTAGAATTCTTATTAACATAAAAGATGTCGACTAAGCGATTTCACACAATTTCAGCGGTAGAATTATGTTCGATGATAGTGTTGAAAAGGTCATTGGAGATTGTTCAATATATCCACTGTAAAACGACGGCATCGAGACGAACCCATAAATGTGGATCAGAAGTTTTGAGAGAGAGATCTGCAGCTGGTTCAGAGGGAATGATATGGTCAATCACTTGAAAAACTCGAGCATGAATTTTGAAAAGTTCTGACCACGTGTTATACATGCCCTTTTCAATGCTCAGAGTAATTTTAATGAAATTAGTAATATTTGGGACAGTGAGAGCAGGGTGGGTTGTCGTAGGAGTGAGAGGTGGAGGAGGAGGGTCGGTATGATCGGTGGAGTGTGAGGAAGAGTTGTTGTTGGAGGAATTAGTAGTGGTAGTCATGGCTGTTTTGGGGTGGTTAAAGAGGGGGAAAATGAAGGATAGGAAGAGAGAAGGTTGACGGCAGGTTTTAGGGTTTGCGAACAAATCAAGCGTGATACCATGTAAGAGAGTTTAGACCGTGTCTTTTCATTATATATCTAATAGTGAGGATCTTTACTTTCTTGAATTTAAGGTGGGAAGGTGAAGAACTTTTGAGATAAAGTTAAGATTTTTCGTTTCTTTGATGGTAACAAATGACGACTGTCCTGTTTTTGTTTTCCAGCGATAATGAATATAGAAATTGTTGAGGAAGAACGATAAAATCTAGTTGTTGAAGATGAAAATAATACCAAAATAATAGGTTTTGAGAAATTTAAATATTAAAATTTTATTAATATTATTAAGTTATTAGTATTATTATTAATTATGAAATCTTATTAATTTTAATGAAATATTATTATTAATAAAGATCAAAGTGATTTGGATTTTAAATTTGGTCATTGTGGCAATGACATGTCATCAATATCAGTGCGACATTACTAAAAATTAGTTTCAAATTGGTTATGGGACGAATATCCAAAACAAAACTTTAAAAAGGGACTAAAAACATGATTTTTAAAATGTGGGGATCAAAACTCAAAAAAATGCAAAATAAAGGGACCAAAATTGTATTTAAGCTTTTTTTAATGATGTATTCAATTTGTCTTTTAAATTTAAATATTATTCTTGTTAATTCAATCATGACTTGTGACACTCTAGACTTGTTGAAAAATTTAAGAAATATAAACTTTAGTCCCAAGTTAAAGAATATTTTGAGACAAATTTTGTAATGTGTCATGAGAATATTGAGTTTGGGAGAGAGATATGGTCAAAGAACAAAATTGAGTGGGAAAAAATTGATTCTAACTCAGTTGGTACAGCTGTTATTTATATAACAAATTTGGACCCTCATACGAATTTATTGTTCTTTATCTCAATTAAACTAAAAAATTAATTCTTGAGGATCAAACTCAACATCCTCAAGAACTAGAGCATGAAATGTCATAAAGAATTGACTAAAAAGAGAAATTCTATTTGCTATGATTGAAATACTTGTTAGATAATCCTTCAATGTCGAATGGATCCAGACTGAATCGTGAACGAAATCACTTTCCTTAAAAGTATTTCAAGCACACTCTCAAATTGTCTTAGAGGTGGAACGACCTGAATACCCAGGATAAGTCAGCCTTTTTCTCGAAACTGCACAAGACTGGTGAAGTTTCGAATGCAAGGAAAACGTTTGGAATTATATAGAAGAGGATATCAGATTTTGGAGTATGTAATTTCGAATTATCAAGCATATATTTATAGCCATGCATGTGTCTTTTCAGAAGTTTGCAATTCTTCATAAACACACTCTAGGCCCACGCCGCGAATAGCCCAAGTGCCGTCTACAAGACGCCACTAGCGCCTCTAGGCCCACGCCGCGAGAGGTGTTTTGTATGAGACAAGTGACATAAGTTTTGGCACCACCACATATGACTATGTGGCACTTTATCCTCTTTGACTCCTTTAGAAATTACATTGTTTCAAGTGCCTTATAAATGCTATTTAATTTTACTCCACTTCCAATGTGGGACTAAGCATTTATTGTCAATTAACTATAACACCCACTTTGTCATTTTGGAACAACTTTAATGGAAATAAATTTTTATAAATAAATTTTTATTTCCAACAATACTCTATTATGATATTAGTTACATTTGTTATAATTTTTGGAGCTTCATAAGATGGATATCAAATTAGTGTTTCTTAATGGCGACATTAAGAAATACACTATGGTGCAAGAGAAAATTTTGTGTCAATAGATACAAAGTTAATGGTTTTCAAACAAGTCTAGAGTAAGTTTGGTTTTGAGATGTCTATTACAAAAAATTATTGGGTCTTACAAGTTCAGTAAGAGTAAGTTTATGTTCTAGCTTAATGTATCAATTTTATTTTATTTAGTCATAAATTATATATAATTATTATGTGAAATCATAAATCTCTAACAAAAGTTTAGTAATGAAAGATTTTGGGCTCTGGGCACATCTCTTTTGTATTAGGTATTTAGATATTTAGAAATTATTTTAAAGGAATCAGTTCGGTTAACACAATCAATAAAGTTGCGATGTCTCAATTATCAATAGGTTAACACAAAAGATTTATGTGTCTATCAATAAAGTTGGGATGTCTCAATTATCAAGGGAGACTATTAAATCTAGATTTATGTGTATATCAAATCTAGATTTATGTGTATATCAATAAAGTTGGGATGTCTCAATTATCAGGGGAGACTATTAAGTCTGGATCATTGTTCAAAATAAAAGAATCTAAAAATTTTAGAAAATCAAGTTTTTTATACTTTTTCGGTTTTTGAGAATTTTATGTATATGCATCAGAAATAAATCGTATATATAATGAGATTATTTGCTAGATACGAAAATTTAAAATTTGAATGGTTGAAATGAGACAACCCATAAGGATTGTTATAGAGAACATAAAAGACTTGTATTTACATATTAGAGATCGAATGATTTGGAGAACATAAATTAATTCTAACACAACAGAGGGAGTAGGTGAGGCAGAGAAGGAGGCAGGAAGGCCCAACAAATTGCTGAGGATAGCTGATGTTTTTCGGGGAGTTTACATATTCTGCAACCTGTATAGCAACAACCAATCTTCATCTCTAAGTATAGATAAATTCTCATAAAATTCACCACGAAACTTCCTGCTTATCATTAAAACAACTCCCCTGCTTTGTTGTGATGTTAACTTGTGCTGACGGCGAGTTTTGTCGCAAGAAGTCAACTATTCCATCAGGTATAGGAAGTAGTTTCAAACCCGCTTTAAATGCCTTTCTTAATTTAGCAACTTCTATAAGTGACTTGGAAATAGCGTTCTTTAACATACCATCCTTCATAAATAGTATTAAAATTTCATCATGAAGAGGTATAAGCTCTACCTCCAATGACTTCAAGTTACGCAAAGAATGCAGCTTAACTTCCAATAAATTAGGGACTAAGGAGAGAATCTACGTAATGAAAAATGAAGTTGAATTAGGATCAGTTGTATGCAAATCAATTAAATTTTAACAAAGTTTAAAAATAATAAAGCAACTTCACTAGAAAGTAAAAATAAACCTGATAAATATATAACATGGTACCTGAAGAGTAATTGAAGTTACTTTCAATGATTCTACACTGGCAAAGTCACGCAAGCAGCCTAATAGAACAAAAGGATGCTTCATGGAATATGAATACTGCGGTGCATAGATATTTACGTGCTTAACACAAGAAAGGCCCCTTCCACATATCTTCTGACCAAGATTATCAGGAAAAGTAAACCTACGAAGACTTGGAGTAGATAGCTCGATTTCGGCAAAGTTGAATGAATTATAATGCATAGCTAAATCGACAAGTGTCTCATTGGATATGTTGAGGATTTGTGTATTCTTTACCTTAGAATGACGAATGACCAGACTATTCAACTTGGTAAAGGGAGAAAACGGCTCAGCACAACCGTTTTCACCTCCGCGAAAGGTAAAATTTTCTAGATGTAAGCTTGTCAATAGAGGCAAATTCAAAGATTTTGGAAATAAAATTTCTGTATTATCCCTACTACCTAAATTGTAGAGTGAAAGCTTAAGAGTTGTAAGAGCTTTACATGAAGAAACACAACTCAGAATGGGATAACCCTGAGCAATGGCCCTGATTTGTAATTGCTTGATGTGTTTATTATGGGAATAAACAGAGTTTAAAATGTTTTCGAGGAGCTGAGACTCAATAAGGCCGTGATCAATGTCCAGAGCCTGCAATGCAGTTGAGTTATCACGAAGTGCCAACATCTTAGAAAGGAATATGTCAAATCGCTTCACAGTTGAATATTTTGAGTAATGCAATTTAACCGAAGGAATATGTTTCCAAAGATGCTTCCATCGTGTGGATAGAATACACGTTTGAACAGCATCTATGGAATTCAAATGTGACAAAATGTGAAGGAGAACACAGTCGGGTAAGTCACTCAATCTGTCCCCATTTTCTTGACTATCATGCATTACCTCATGCCCTAAATTAGACATTAGGAACGAGATAACAAATACCTATGCAAAAAAATATTGAATTCTATTTCGCAAAAGAGAACAAGAAGCAACTGAAAAATTCTACACTGTGCAAAAGAGCAAATTTATAGAAATACGAAAATTAGAGTGAAACCCTATTTAAAGGTGAAGATGAATAACTATCATCCGTATTTTACTAGGGTTTGTTGTGCTTTAATTTGGTGAGAGGAAAGAGAGTTAAGATAGTAACTAATCTAATACATTGATTAACCACTCAATTAATGTAATGATATTTTTTATATTTTATATTTTATTTCCGCCAAGATAGCAACTTATTTATGCACTATAATATTTTTCATTTCAGAAACGAAAATGATTTAAAAATTAATGATGTTACCTAAACTTTTGGTCATTCATTAGAGTAGAGAATAGTTCTACACATCGAAAATATTTCTTTTTAAAGATTTGTAAATTAACCAACATATCGATGTGTGTAAAGTGTGCGCTATTATTTACTTTTTTTTAATTTTTTATATGCAACGAATTCGTATTAATTGTATATTAAAAATACACCAATCCGAAAACAAAAGTTTTATAATTATATCTGGTATCTATCATTACAACCAATAATCCTACAACTTACTTTCTTAGAATTTTTTTTAAATAATCATATATTAAATTAAAATTACAATTTAAATAAATATTTCAAAAAAAATTTAAAATGGCTAGGATTCAACCTTCTTTCATCATGGCAATTGGCGACTGTTGAAACTGATTATGGCCTAAGAGAATTCGCCAAACAAATTGAAGACATTGTTGATGAGAAAATTTTACCTCATACCCCTACAATTATACTCATACCCCTATATTAACATTTTTTGGACTAAAATATCCTCGTATAAAAATTTATTTTTTTTCATTTGTTCACCGGAAGACTTTTTGCAAGTCTCCCGGTTCATATTTTTTTCTTTTGTTCACTGGAAGACTTTTTTAGAAGTCTTCTCGTTCATGTTTTTTTTTTAATTTTTAATATTGTCAATTATAATTTTTTTTTATTTACTATCCTATCATATAATTTATTAAAAATTAAAATTAACATTTATATAATATTGTCAAATATTATAATATTTTTAATCATCTTAACATTGGTTTTTTAATTCTATTCCTGAATTCAAATCAAAAGTAGAATATATAATATACAATTATACTTCTTAGTCATTTAATTTTATTTAATCCAATATCAAAGAATTATTTTAAGTTTCTGGATTCAAACATTGACCGAAACATATATTAATCATTCTTTAAGTTATCAGTATTTGAAAACTATATATTTAAGGAATAAATCTGAATTCATTGAACAAGCAAAAAAATGAATTGATTTCCGATAATAAATTTTTTAATATAAAATAAATGATGGAGGAAAAAAAAAACACATAATGTCAATAATTTAATTTAAAATTTAATAGTTCAAATTCATTCTTATTTTATTACATAAAAATAACTATATATATATATATATATATATATATATATATATATATATATATATATATATATATATATATATATATATATATTATAATAATAATTACAATAATAAAAAACTTAATAATATTTGATGATAATAATAATATAGTCCCAACAAGCAAATAATGAAAAAGGTTATGATCTATTTATTTTTTACTCACTTGTCTCAACTATTTTATTAATAATACTTTTATTCTAATTTAAATTATCAGTATATGAAAACTATATATTTAAGGCAAAAATCTGAATTTATTGAGTAAGAAAAAAATGAATTGATGTTCAATAATTAGTTTTTAATATAAAATAAAAGATGAATGAGAGAGAGAAAAATGACACATAATGTCAATAATTTATTTTAAAATTTAAAAATTAAAAAGAAAAACATGAACAGGAAGACTTTTAAAAAGTCTTCCGGTAAACAAACGAAAAAAATATGAACCGGAAAACTTGCAAAAAGTCTTCCGGTGAACAAAAAGAAAATGTGAATCGGAAGATTTCCAAAAAGTCTTCCGATGAACAAAAGAAAAAATATGAACTGGAAGACTTGCAAAAGGTCTTCCGGTGAACAAATGAAAAAAAATTATAAATTTTTATACGAGGGTATTTTGGTCCAAATTTTTTTTATAGAGGTATGGGTATAATTGTAGGGGTATGGGGTAAAATTTCCTGTTAATGATAATATTGGGCCTAAGAGAATTCGCCCATCTGAATGACGACTTACTCCAATTGTTAGGGTTTTCGTTTTTATTTTATTTTTAATCAATGTTTTAATTTTTAGTTTTAATTATTCTTTTATAGAAAATATTAAATTATGTATTCATAAATATTTGTTATTAAAATAAATAAATGGAATAGTTTATGTAAATATTTTAATAAATTATTTAAAGAATAATAAATATAATTGAAATTAAATATTTAAATAAATATTTAAATGGTAATAACTTTGAGTTTGTTATTAAATTTATAAATATTTTAATTATGTATTAATAAATATTTGTTATTCAATTATGTTGTTTGTTTTTCATAATTAATTAAAATTTAAATAACATTAAAAAAATATAAAAATATAAAAAATATTAAAATATATTAATTTACAATATAATGAAATTACAATTGAACAAAAAAAACTAATTGCCGGCTCTATCCAAGCGACCACCGGTGCCACATTGCGGGGGATGCGCGTTGCGACAAGGTCTATACGACGAGGTTGTTGTGGTGTGTCCGGTCTTTGTGTGTTGAGTTGTGGAGGAGGGTTTTGTTGGGACGGCCCCGGCGTATCAGATAGATTTTGAAGCATTTGACCCGAATAGCCGGGAGGTCCACTATCAACGACGCTTTCGTAGTTAAGCCCAATGCCCATGTTTTCGTAGGATTGTCGGGTAGGTTGGGTAGAGTATGGACGGTATGGTTGTCCGAATTCGTACATCGAATTGGGTTGGAAATGGTGTGTTGGTTGTTGTGGGGTGTGGTAGTCAAACAGTGGATAGTTGGAGGGGTAGGGTCAAATGAGTTGTTTGGGTTATAGGGGGAGGGGTAAGCTCAAAAGACGTATCAGGGCTATAATGGTATGGTGGTTGATGCTGGGACTGGGTGGGTGGCATGTACGGGTCATGGTAAGGATGTTGTCGTTGATGGGGGCATTTGGTGGCATGTATGAGTTATGGTAAGGCTGATTTTGGGCACTGGACTGTTGTTGTGTGTTTGACAAAGAAGTTGTTGCCTTGGGCCAACCAAATAGGTTGGCTCGGACATAAATGGATGAGATGTTGTGACCGATCTAAACTAAGTCATATATTGAAGACTTGGCCTAGCCCCGTGCACAATATGGTCGGTTAAGACGTGCTGCCTTCTGTCCTTCCAGTGTTGACACATCTCCTTCGCAAACTCCTTCCAATGACTGACATTCCACTGTGAGTTCACCCGCTTTTGATGCCACTGCCCCAATGATGTCGGAGCATCTGGAATATCCTGATGCATCCCAAATTGTAGCTTCACCCTGTCACTTTGGTGCATCTCCATCGTAGTGAACCTAATGATGGGTGTTCTTGATGTCCACACAGCAACATCATTGGGGTCGGGCTAGTGGTCGAGACCCTCGTACGGCATCCAGACAAACTACAATAAAGGTTGATACATTTAGTCAGACAGAGATAGACAAGTTTATGCATATAAGTTAGACAAACTAAAGGTAAATAACTTACATTATCTGGCCCAAGGTGGTCGATGAGGTTGCGGTATTGAATTAAAGTGTCTGCGACATCTCTGATAATTCATCCCTGGAACAGACCACCTAAAAAAAAGAAACACATATAAGTTAGCAACTAAAACACATCTCACAAATTATTAACTTACAAAGAAAATTTGGTTGGTAAATAGACTTGAAAAAAACTTACTTGTTGGCGTACGGGAATGTTAACAGATTTCGGTTTACCGGAGCAAGCGTTGGCATCCTAGACCAACCCCACGCTTGTAGAAGATATGCGCAGCCATAGAAAGTACAAGAATTTTTTTGGAATTTTTACAAAGTGCACTATACAGATGGGCCAGGACAGTTGATCCCCAACTATATTCGCACACTTTGTTTATGTTTTGTAGCAAAGGTAAATACATAATATTTACGCTATTTCCAGTGCCCTCTGGAAATAAAAAGTGACCGAACAAAATCATAATATAGCACTTTGTTTTAACTATTTTCTCATAGTCGGTGTTATCCTCACTTAAGAAAATATTGTTGTATTGTTCTCTGAGGTATTTAAGATTTATTCCCTGACCCCTCTGGCGACCCTCGCGTTCTTCCTGAGTTGCGTCCACACAAAGAGGGGCGCCCAATAAATCTTTGCAAAGTTGGTCAGGGACACCAACTTTGCTGTTGACGGCCTTACCATTGATGTGTAGGCCGAGCAACATGTAGACATCTCGAAGAGTCACAGTACACTCACCAAAAGATAGGTGAAATGTATGTGTCTCCGGTCTCCAGCGTTCTAACAATGCTAGAATGAACTTCGTATCGAGCGAGTATGATTTGATTTTAATCACATCACCAAACCCATAATGACGAAGGTATCCCTCTATGAGGGGGTTGTGTGGTATGTAATCATGCACACGAAATCGAAACCTTGATGCATCCTGCAAAATAAATAATGTTTCGTTAGTTTTATAGGATAACTAAAGATCGTAAACATAGACAAAAACTAAAAACTTACAAACTCAGCAATTTTTTTCAATCGTGCCTCTGTGAGAGTTGTCCATTGTGAGTAGAGACATTGTGGTTTAGGAATTTACTGGGTGAGTAGAGTTTAAGGGTTTGAGCGTTTGAGAGATTGAGAAGCTGAGAATTTGAGGGTTTGAGACTTTGAGACTTTGCTAGTTTCAGACTTAGAGAGTTTGAGAGTTTAAGTGTGAGCAGATTTTGTTGGGTAAAGAACCTCTATTTATATTCCACGAATGCATGTGTCTTGTAAATGAATGCA